GGGGGGGGGGGGGGAAGGGGGCGGGGGGTATTTTTCTGAAAAAGAGGACCTTTTACCATAAAAACTTCACGTACCTACGTACATGTAGATCAAATTTTACCCAGAGTGGACATTTTCCCAGCAAAAGGGGCAGTTCTTTTCAATCCCCCCCCACCACCACCCCCACCCCCCACCCCCACCCCCTAAGGCTACAGGCCTGATAGAATATTTATACTTACAGTAAAGATCATGGACGGGAGAGGTGTGTACTTCTTGACATGAACCATGGACAGAATACTCATAAGGTGGCCTTCTCTGGCTGCCACAAAACAAAGCCTGGGAACAGAAAAATGGAAATCTTATGAGGTTCTGGCAGAATCTGGTGAATCGTGGATTTGTCACTACCACAAACCAAAGCTGGAAAATAGAATAAATAAATGACTCTTATTATTTTGTGACCTTTAATTTGGATATACCACAAAATAGGGGCCTGTCAATTCAAAATGGCACCAGAAAAATTCAGGAATATAATTTACATCAAACAACAATAAATACGTAAGTGTCAAAGCCTCACACACACACACACACACACACACACACACACACACAAAAAAAAAAAAAAAACAATCTGAGTCGAAATTTTATTTCTATATTCAAGACATACTTTAATACAGGAAAACTGATAATGCTGTCAATAATAAACTGTTATATTTGATTTTTTGCTTATGAATGGCATGCATGTGGTGCTTTGACAAAAAAATAAATAAATAAATGAAAAATTGACCCACCTGCCCCCTGTGAAGGCTGTGCCATTAGCAGCACCAAATGTGGACATTGCAACAGAGATAGGAATAATAATGGCTGCTGGGCCTATCACTCTATCTGCCCATGTCTGAAAAAATATATAAGAGATAAAAGACTGTAAAATGAATTATTGCAAACTTTACAGTAAATATCTATCTTAATCAGCAAAGAAGCTGAAGTACTATTATATCTGGGACTATTGTAATATTGTAAAATGAAGATTTAAAACCTTTATTACAAAGCTCACAGTAAACATGTTCTCTATCATAATCAGCTAAGAAGCTGTAGCACAAAACCGTTAAACTAAAATGGCATGAACATTTGATAAGAGTGAATGAAAATCTTCCACAGCCTAAATCCCAATTAAGAATCAATGTTGCACATAGTCTAGTTAATTGTGCTTCTGTAATTTATAGAAAAAAAGTAGAAATAGTCAACAAACTTGGAAAATCCATTTTGTTGGTCATCTGATTGTGTCAAACATACCAATATAGATATTCCAATCTTAATTAGTCTTCCAACATTATATACTTCAACAAAGTCTGTTGTAGTGGTGTATTTTTTATCTGGTATATGTAATAAAAGATGTAAAAAAGAGAAGTCAAAATTACTCAAAAACCATTGTTTCTCATGGCCATACTTACAACAGCTACAGCAGGTGATGCAATAATTTCTGCAGCAGACATGACGCTCAAGTAGGAAATATTAACAAGGATATAGCATATCATAACCAGCGGCAAGCCAATCAGAATGGCACGAGGAAGATTTCTGAAATAGCAGCAAGCATGAAAGGTGTCCACAATGTATACTTCTGGCAGTTTAGTTAAAGGGCCCATCATTTTTTTTACTTCTCCTTTTGGGTTTATAAATGTTAAGAAGCAAGTAACACTTTTTGTGGTGATATACCAATGAAAATTTACCATATGTAAATTGAAACATTTATATAGATAGTAATAAGAGAGTCGCATTCAAGAACACAATTAAAAGTTGTCAAACAATTACACTTACACTGTCGGGTTCTGCAACTCTTCTGTAGCATAATTCAAGTTGTTCCTACAACAAACAAGCCAACCATTCATGATAGTCTTTAACTGAAAGCAAATTTTTTTCAATGTTGCAAATTTAAAATTTTGACAAATGATGAATTTGTATGAATTTCACAGAAGTGCATATCGAGCTGCCAACACTTTGGGTCAGAGCTTCTTCTGTATTTTTTTTAGATATTGATCCCTGTTCTACAGTACTTATGCTGAAATCATGTAAATCAATCAGCCCATTTAAGGTAGTGTCAAGTTGACAGAGACTCCATCTTCTCTGCTCAGCATACTGAATATCATGTTTTCAGTGTGGCAGTTCCGGCTATGCCATTTTTAAAGTACAAAAACTACCGTTAACAGTTGTGATTCAGAGGCTCAAGAAAGGAGCATCAAAAGATTCAGAAGTTCAGTTTCAGAAAGGCCTAAATGACCACTATATGCACATATAACAGTGGATCATATAAACACAATTGTTAGCTACATGTTCCTCACCAGCCGTCATAAGCCCACAGCCCATCATAGAATGCCAGTGCTATTCCAGCCACATTATTAGAGGTGCCTTCAAAACCATTGCCAAGGTGTTGGATATTACCTGGATATAAAAGAAGTGAATAATTATATTAAGACAAATTAATGGACTGGATATGTGTATAACAATTTTGCCTTCATGTTCATTTTCTTAACTGTAATATCAATAGTTTTTAATTTTCAGTAAATCATTCAGTCCTACTTTTTATTTTGTTAATTAAAGTTTATTTTAAAAATTTGAAAATGATGATAAACCATTCCTTCAAGTTTTGGCTATGTAAAACGTTAATATAACGTTACAAGTTTTTTTTTCTATTTCTTTTAATATATCACTTTAATAAGTGACCTAACAACCCACCATGAAAATTGCACATTAATTGTGACAAAGGAAAAAGACTACAGCTTCAAATAAAGTTTTCTTTTACACAATATTTCAGAGTCATAATTGTTTATCTTAACTTTAAGATGGCAGTCTGAAATATTGCTGTGACATTTGTAAATTAAATAATTGTTCATGACATAATACATAATTACTATCTGCTTACCTTGTATAAGTTTAACTATTCCGCCAACAATAATCAGTCCAATCGCAGCCAGTTTTGCAAAAGCAAAGAAGTTCTGAACCCTTGTCGCCAGCTTAACTGAGTAACAGTTGATGCCCATTATAACCACTGTAGATATACACAATGGAAAGACATGAAATTTAATTATACTGAAATAATTCATTGACCATTGTTAAAAATCCTGCTCATCCCACTTATTTTATAATGAATCACTTCGGCCAAATTATAGAGCAATAATTTAAAAGTAATTCGCATTTAAATAAAGATTCAGTAATTTTCATTATCTTCAGAGCTTTTTTAACTGATATATATATACAGCGGCCATAATTTTTTAAGTGTTCAGTTGATTTTCACAATTACTAAGAATGTTTTTTTTTCATATAAAATCTGTGACTTCTAATGTTTGTACAGTGTATGTAAGGCCTCAATTTGAAATAAGTGGGATGATATTCATGTCCATGCATACAGCAGTATGATCTTTAACTTTAAAATTACATTTTTTTTTATAAAAGTGAGCAATCTAATCCACCGCTGCTTACTTAAACTGGTTTTGTATATATGAAATATCATAATCTTTATATTGACATAAATGATGCTTTTTTGTTTAAAAAACTAATTTTGTCACAATAAGAAAATTTAATTTTAGGATAAAATATCAGAAAGTTTACATTTAATCTGGATATTTTTTGGGGTAAATCCTTAAAACATGTGTTCTTTACATGGAAGAAAGAGACGAACATTTGATGAGGAACATGTTATTTACCCATTTATAAAATGCAGGAAAGATAAACAACAGATACAGAAAGACAATTATATGCAAAAGCTTCTATAGATAAACCCAGTGATGCTGGTGGCATTGCTTCAGCATGCCTTTTGTGATCATCTGGTGTAATCTGATATCATTAACAACAGCATACATTAAACAGTAAAGATCACCATTGTTTTCCGTAGTGATGGATGATTCGTGCAATCACTTTGGTACCTTAACTGGAAATACTTAAGGACATATCTGACATGTATGTTCTACAATGAATCTATTGTCTTAATATTATAGGTTTTTTCACAGTTTCTTCAATTAACCCAAATCATTTAAATTACACATGCAATATGAAATCTGTCCTTTAATGATCATCTCCTTTAAATAAAATCTACATACACTGACACACTCGTTACATGTATCATCTAGATTTACCATTATTTTCTCAGTTTTTTTACTCTCTGCATGCTCTTGCTTGTATACCTGGTAGTTTCAAGCCCATTTACTATATTTAATTTCCTTTTTTATCTGACTGTTTTTAATTATCCCTACAAGATTTGTTTTGTGCTTAGTTAATGCTGAAACAATTGAATTGCTTGTGTGAATTTTAACCCATATATCCATCTTCCTGGTTTCTAGCTAACATATGTTCATTGCAAAGTAGTTTAAAGTCCAGCTGTCATATTTATCTTCCTGGTTTCCAACCCTTAAATTATTCTGCACTTTTTTCAATATGTTCTTATTCCAAGCATGAAACATTGTGTAAATTGCTTGAAGTTTCGAGTTCATTTAATCAGCACTTAGCAAGGACACAACTAACACTTACAGAAGGTGAAAAATGCACGCTAAATGCAGATAACTTTTTTAAAAGTTTCATTATTATGAAATATTCTGCCATAAGATTTTTTCCATTGTACATGGCAATTACCATTAACAACAAAGAATAGAAAATCAAAGACAGCACTTGTGGACACTTGAATTCCAGGGTGAATCATAAGAAACAATTAATGCACAGGAGAAAAAGATATATTCAGCTTTAATGCTAAGAAAAAAATTCACAGAGCATTAGATCCGGTACCAGCTCCGTTATTATTTATCCAGTTCTTTTTCCTTCCTAAAAAATTTCCCCTCATCAAATCTGCCTTTGATATATTTATATAAATACTAAGACTGGGTTCCCATACCTAGTTCGATCAAACAGGATTGATCCCTTTCCGAAGGGTTTCTGGCTAAATTGCTTTCAGATGTCTGGCACACCTACTGCAGCTGCTAAACAATAGTTAATTACCTCCTAGCAGCTCCAGTAGGTGTGACAGACAGCTGTTTAAATTGATTGTAACTTAGCGAGAATCTCCTTGGAAATAGGTCAATCCACAGTTGGTATGATAGGGTCTGGGAATGGTCCCTTATACTTACTCAAAGCAGCAAAGGCTGTCAATTTCAGAATTGCCTGTGGGGGCCCACAGTTCCCATATACAGGGGTCAGTGTGTACCTCGCAAATGCAAGGGTAATAATTGCCATTGACGATGGTTTTTTTGCGAGCAATGTGGTCCACACAAAAAGAAATGCCGGAACTGGACCATAAGCCTCAAAATAATATGCATACATACTCCCAGACTTAGGAATGGCTGTTCCAAGCTCAGTGCAACACAGTGCTCCTGTCAAGGAAATTTGTACAAGTGCTGCTTTAATATATTTAATCTAGATCATCATGAATGTTTAAATATGTGAAAAATAATTACTTAAAAAAACCAACTCTTTTTGTCCTAAATGATTGTCATTCCGAGATCCATATATAATCAAGATGGGTATATTAATGCGCTTTTAAAATCATGCACCAACCACACCACAATTTTTTATCATGCTGTCATTTAAGAGAAATTCTTCTCAATATTAAAATGATAATTGATATTTCATACATTTTCAAGCATCATGCAATGTTTAAATTAAGGAAGTGTGCACCAATTTTTGCCTTAAATTCTGCATTCTCTAGCTATTAGGGAACTGCCCCATACTGATTTATACAAAGTTTAAGGGCGTATTCCCAGACATTTAGATCGATCTATCCTCGTGGGGAGTCTCACTAGATTACTGTCAGATAATCCGGCTTAAATGTCGGTCCCGCCTACTACAAGCTGTAAGGGGGTAATTTACTTTCGTGCCCTCTCAGCTGACAGCTATTTAACGTGAACCCCCAGGGAGTTAGGCGATCTAGTTTGGATCAATCTAATCCCTGGGAATGGGATCTAAATGACAAATACTGGTATTTTCTCTGATTATCATTGATTATATAAATTTAATTACCAGTCACTATGAAGATTTATGGTGGATCAAGGGGGGCAAAGAGAAAATTAAGTGCTCAAGTCTGATCCCTTTCCTGAAAAGTTAAATCTGTCATGTAGGACCTGTCAGTACTGAGTAAATGCTGGAGAAGACAACTCTGCCATATGGAAGTCTTTATAGAAAATCCAAGGGAGCATTTTACACCCAAGTTGATCCAAGGACTAAGGGTGCTTTCCCAGAGATTTAGATCGATCTAAAGATTATGTTTTAGATCGACCTAACTCCCTGGGGGTTCAGGCTAAATTGCAGTCAGCCAAGCGGACACCATAGTTAATTACCCCCTTACAGCTTTTAGTAGGCGGGACAGACGCTTAAGCCGGCCAAGCTGACAGTAATCTAGTGAGACTCCCCACAGGGATAGTTCGATCTTAAAATCTATGGAAATAGGGTGTAACTGATAACACCTGGCACGCACTTGAAAGCATGTTGGTAATCAATAAACAACAGATACAGAAAGGCAATAATGCAATAGCTTCTACAGATGCAGGGGTGGATCCAGAGATATTTTTGGACAGTCTTCCAAATTATCTTTGTTGATCCAACTTCCATTTTTGACCGTCTTCCGACAGAAAACATTAGATGGCTGACAATGTAAACTTGAAAAACTGACCATCTTCCAGAAGACCCAGAAGACGGCCTAAATCCGCCCCTGAGATGTTAACCCAGTGATGCTGGTGGCATTGCTTCAGCATATTCCTGTAGTGATCATCTGGTGTAATCTGACATCATAAACAGGATACATTAAACAGTCAAGATGACCAGTTTTCTGTAGTGATATAGGGTTCATGCAATCTCTTTCAGTGCCCTAATTAAATCTAATTGGAAATGCTTATAAGACCATACCTGGTGCATATGTTGAACAATGATTTTTAATTATCTTAATTACTATATTATCAGTTTTTTCACAGTTTCTTCGAGAACCCAAATCATTATAATTACACATGCAATCTAAAATCTGTCCTTTAATGATTATATCTTCTTTAAATAAGATCTACATACACGTACTGACACAAATGCACTTAGTACATGTACTGTACATATATCATCTGCATTTACAACTATTTTCTCAGTTTCTTAGGCTCTATTCCCACAGATTTTAGATCTATCTATCCCCGCGAGGAGTCTCACTAGATTACTTTCAGATAATCCGACTTAAATGTCCGTCCCGCCTACTACAAGCTGTAAGGGGGTAATTAACTTTCGTGTCCGCCCAGCTGACAGCTATTAAGCGTGAACCCCCAGGGAGTTAGGTCGATCTAAAATAGGTCGATCTAAACTATGGAAATGGGGTGTAACTTTCTACAAGTGCTTGCTTGTATATTTTCAAGACCACCAGCTGACCTGTATATTTAAATTCCTTGTTTCTGACTGGCAGCTAGTGTTTTTGATTATCCCCACAAGATGTGTTTCAAGTTTATTGCTGAAACAATTAAATTGCTTGTGAGACTTCAAACCTATTCATTATATCTATCTTCCTGGTTTGTAAATGTTTTTGATTAAATATATTTATAGCACAACAACTGAATATAGCTTGACGGCTTAGAAGTCTGGCATGCCTACAGAAGCTGCTAAACAACACTTAATTACCTCCTAGCAGCTTCAGTAGGTGTGACAGACATCTAAACCACTTAAGTTGATTGCAATTTAGCGAGAATCCCCTTGGAAAGGAATCAATCCACAGTTGGTATGATAGGGTCTGAAAATGGTCCCTTATACTTACACAAAGCAGAAGAGGCTGTCAATTTCAGAATCGCCTGTGGGTGCCCACAGTTCCCATATACAGGGGTCAGTGTGTACCTCGCAAATGCAAGGGTAATAATTGCCAATGATGATGGTTGTTGAACAAGCATTGTGGTCCAGACAAAAAGAAATGCCGGAACTGGACCATAAGCCTCATAAAAATATGCATATGTACTCCCAGACTTTGGGATAGCAGTTCCAAGCTCAGTGCAACACAGTGCTCCTGTTGAGGAAAATTTGGACAAGTGCTGCTTTAATATTTTCAACCAAGATCATCATATACATGTGCACATGCATTTATACCAGTAATTTATGAGTGAAAATAATTTAAAAAGTCAACTAATTTTTTCCTAAATGATTGTCATTCTGGGGTGCAGAGGCTATAAGTTAGGCCAGACAAAATTGTGACTGCCACCCTAATTTTGTGGAAATCTGAATTCTTTTGCACCTATTCTTTTTAATGGAAAAGATAAATTGGATGTTGGTTTGGTTATAGTGGGAAAAATACAACAGATCACACAAAATACCTGAATACTGTTGTTTTTATGCTTCAAAAGCCATTTATAAAGCAAATTTGCTCTTTTTCAAACTTAACCTAGCATACTTACATATAGCTAATACTGCAGTTAGTTTCAGCACTGATTGAGGAGGCCCGCAGTTGTCATAGACAGGTGCCATAGCGTAGTGTGCAAAGGCAAGGCATATTATAGCCATAGAGGAAGGACGAACAACAACAATTGATAGCCATGCATGGAGAAATGCTGGGACAGGACCAAACGCACTGCCTAGATAAATGTACTCGCCACCAGACTTTGGTATTTCGGTCCCCAGCTCAGCGTAACACAAAGATCCTAGAGAAAAGCAGTACTAAGTAAAAGAAATGCCAAAATGCAGCTAGAAAATCAGACTAACCAAGCTTAAAAAATGCAGATAATAAAGCATGAAATCTTTAAAATCCTGCAAACCTAAAGATGTCAAAGTTAATAAAGAGATNTGCAGTAAATGGAAAAATATGTCGGAGTTTATTCAGATGGAGGAAAATTTGGGGGCGTCTCGATAGTCCGAAGGTTCATTGGTCCGAAGGTTCATTGGTCCGAAAAGTGGTAACATTTTCATCGATTTTTTAATCAAGGGTTCATTGGTCTGAAGGTTCTATAGTGAACATTCGGACCAATGAACCTTCGGACTATTGAATCTTCGGACTATCGCTACGGCCCCGAAAATTTTAAAAGGGATGCAAGGTTGTGACTGAATCAGAGACAGTCTTACAAGCTAGACCAAGAGTTCTATTGTGACTGAATCAGAAAGAATCTTACAAGCAAAAAAGAGGCAACATGCACTGTGATTTGCAGTAGCTATCTAATATTAGACTAAACTGTTAAACGTTTCACTTTTCACCAATATCTATATCTGCAGGTAAATATGGAGCATTTGAAACAAAGGTTATATATACCTCAGTTAGGACTTTATAGCTACATGTATAAGCATGTCATACATGTATATCTGAATAGCAATGATTTATTTCACATTATCTATTCCAGTGATTGAAAATGCCCATGCAACTTTGATTCTAGCTACGAATAGGACCCACCAAATATATACTCTGCATTGTATACATGTACTTGTATATTGTTTGGTGGATCCTAGGATTGTATGATTTTATTCTTAAGCATATGCACCCACACAATGTTAAGGTCACTGTACTTACAAATAGCAGCTGCTGCAATCATTTTGGGAATTGAAGAAGGCGGACCACAGCCATCGTATATAACGACAGATAAGTATTGTCCAAATGCTAACATAATGATAGAGAGTGAGGAGGTTTTTATCACTGCCACTGACAGCCATGCAAAGAGGTATGCTGGGATAGGTCCGAAAGCTTCGTAAAGGTATGCATATTCTCCGCCTGATTTTGTTAGTGCCGTCCCTAGCTCAGCATAGCACAAGGAACCTAAAATCAATGGCAATTTGTTGGCTTTGGTTAGTTTATCATCTGGAAGCATTTTTAGTGACCTTTGCAACTGAAAGTATCAAGACATTATGATCTTGTATCAAATATATATATTTTTAACAGATACATTGAAGTTCATATTATTTTACTAGTATATGGATATTTCAAGTTATAATATGATAAAAATTTTCCAAAAATAAACACTGTCTTGTAACTTTCTGTATTGCCAATGAGTGTCAGCTAGATCTTTACATAGATAAAGTTTTATTTTCCTCAAAGTATCAACTATTTTCCCTTGATATCAACAAGGTATGCGATATCAAATACCATTCATAAAGCTGTCATTGATAAAACTTGTTTTTGAGGCTCTAGTTTTCAGTTTTTGAGTAATGCTGACAGAGACTGGTGAATTTCACAAGAGACTGACAGATCAATGTTTTTCAACAGTTACGGATAGGGTATCACCATACCTTGTTGATGAAGAGAAGATTGCTGTTAAATAATAATTTTTTTTTTTTTGCTATATAAAGATCAAATGTACATCATACATGTATGTCTTCCATCTTAAAATAAAAATAAATAAGTATGACTACTGTAGCACATGATTTTAATTTATATGAGTAAAAGGCTCCACTAGTACTATTAGCACATAAAGCAGTTAGACATAATACATATTTTTACAATTATAGATTGAAATGCTTTCTATAAAGCAAAATTACAATAACCCAAAGCAAAAAATGGTGAATTTTAATTCTCTGTTCAAATAGTTTATCCCAATTTACTGAGTATCAAACAATAAAATTGCTATATAAATATGTATCTCAAAAAAAAAAAAAAAGAAGTTCAAGAAATGTTCGTTATTTTACGTAAAATACTATTCAAATGTTCAAGTAGTACCAGTACATTTTTATAAAAAATAATATATATGTAAACAAAATGAAGGTAATTTAATAAGTTTCAAATATTATTGGATAAAAAAGTGTATAAGAAAACAAAATTTTGGCCATTCTGAATGTAATTCTTCAAGTGTGCAAAAAAGAATGCAATTACAATTCAGCAGAAGGTATAAGTCAATGCACACTGCCCGAAAAATAAATTAAAAAAAAAACATCAGAGCAGAAACTCTCTAGAAAAAATAAATTCTATTACACAGCCTTTTGAGTACAATTTTGTACCTAGAATAGCCAGTATACCGCACCCTGCCCACACTACCAGTGCCAGACCAATAGAACCTGTGCTGCTTATAACGCCCCCTGGTGAGATGAATATCCCTGAACCTGCAAACAACCAACAGGAACATGTCAAATGAATTTTGATCTATATATTAAAAATATAACCTTTATACATGTGGGAAACTGAGCAAAACCAATGAAAGCAAACTTAAATTTCTCCCCCTCCCACCTTCCTTATACCAGTGAGACAGATATGTGTATCTGGAACCTGAAAATTGAAATACAGTATATGTACTAATCCTGAAAAAAGTTTTTAAAAATTTTCTGTTAAAAAAACTGACAATGATAATATTGTAAAAGGGGAAACAATGAGAAGTAGACTTTAACAAGTGGAGAAAAATATTATATATAACAGAAATTATAAAGAAAATTCCTATGTACATTTACTAGAACCAGCAAAAAAAAAAAAAAAAAAAAAAAAATGTGCCCCAGGACCCTTAAGAATTAAATGATGATGAAGAAAAGATGATGTAGTACTTTGGGGCCAACTATCCACAAAACATCTCTCCTATCAACTAGATTATCAAAAGCATTTTTTCCAATTCTTACAAGACTAGTGAAAATGTCATCTTAAATTTTTTTTTACCAAATATCTAGCTTATTGTTTCTTTTTGATTTTTCAAATTTTCTGGGTACATGAAAATAATTCTATGTTCAAGACAGTCCCCACATTCCAGCAAATAAGCTAATCAAAACTGTAAAACTTCGCTTGTCATCTGGCCATCACTACAAAATATCCGAATATTGTTCATCTTCTGCAGGGAACTGGTCGTCCAAATGCTGGCTCTCTCTTTGTTGCATGCTTGGTTCTATAATAGTGAAAGAGTGAAATATGCATACATTCTTACCAATCATGGTCCCTACAATAAGTGCTATCCCACTGACCAAACCCATGGTTTTCTTCAGTTCAACTTTTTCTGGACCATCCCCTGCAGCGGCCAGCTGGTCACTTGTGGCCAGTCCAAGTTGTGAGCTGGTGGACGGCAGACGAGCTGGATGTCTGTGTGTCAAACCATTGGCATCTTCTTGATTGGCTGAACCTGGAGACACATCTGAAATTTTAAACATATATTTTCCTGGAAATTAATTTTTGTTCATAAATAATACAAGTGGCATAGTATTGTGGTTTCTGTGCAAATAAAACTTAAGGAATAGGGATGTGAATTTTACAGCTGATTCCCAATGAAACTATTAGTCTTATATACTGTAAATCAATCAACTCCAATGAGAGTCTCCCTGCATACAATTGGAATAACAGATGAAACCCCCCCCCCCCCCATTTCCAATGTTCTCGTATAACCACCAGCTTTTCTGCTACTCAATGCCAGAAGGAGGCGTGTTAATCTCTTAACCTGACTGCATACAGCACGAGTCCCCACAGAAATGGATCGATCTACATAGACCAATAGTTTCATTGGAAAAGAGCCCTAAATGGCATTTATTCCAATTAAAGTGGATATGCAATGGCGACATCTTGGTTGTTCAGGTTATTTAATAACGGTAGGGAATACTTTTAATTTGCATTCCGCATGATTGGCCTTATTTTTCAAGTGTGATGCGTTATTTGAGCCAAATATTCTGCGTGAAACGTGATTCAGGTATTCTTGGTGATTGGCCTAAATATATCTTGGTGATTGGTGATTAAGCTGTTTTAATCTTGGTGATTGGTGATTAAGGGTGGGTATTCCCTACCCTCTTTAATCTACCCAGTTTTTCTGCTACTCCATGCCAGGAGGAGGAATCTCATAATCTGGTTGCATTCAGCACGAGTCCCCACAGAGGTGGATCAATCGTCATAGACCAATAGTAGTTTCCTAAGAAATCAGCCCTAAATGGCATTGACATTCCAAGGCGGTACATGACAAATGAGGGAATTTTGCCAGATATGCAATGGAGACATCTTGGTTGGTCAGTTTTTTTTTATCTACTCTGAGTTTCAGAAGTCTCTGAACAGTACCTGAATATACCGATTTGAGGATCAAGCTGATTGTACATAGCTACTGTATCTGTAAATAAATAATCTCTACGAGACTTGAGACCATTTACAAGTGACGAAATTTGCATTTCAAATTGCATGGCTTTGTATTGTTTGACTCACAGGCTGCACTCAACCTTGAGGAATGTTATAAATTCACTGCACACTGTGAGTGGTAAGGACAATGATAGTTTGCGTGCATGACACAATGCTTCAGTACCTTCAACAGTGTGGTTTATGATAGGGGCTCAGGAAGGGGCACATTCGATCTCAATGTTTCAGTAAAAACAAAACAACAAACATTTAGATATACCTAATATCAGTCCTTATAATTTTTCATGACAATTAAATGAATTAGGATGCAATTGGTCCTCGTTTTTTGGTGTGATTTTATGTCCTGATTGCAATCAATCATGCACCTGCACAGCATTATGCCACACAATCCTTTCCAGTTTCCAAATTCATGCCATGGGGTCACTGATTTGAGAAGCAATTTGTGCAGGAACAAATTTGATTTAAATAAATTTTAATGGAATTACAGAGATGATAAGTTACTTATATGGCAAACAGCCCTCTGTGATTAAATGCCATAGGACCTAAGGTTGACACCAGATGGTAGAATGAAATATCTATATCACAGGTCAATAAATCATTCACCTCCTTTATACAGGCATCTCCTACTGTACAGTGGCTCAGCCCTGATGGACCTGACATATTAATTCATCATGTACCATAACCCATCGCAGATTGATTAATATAATAAATGGCATGTCACAGGCTTAGTAAACACACAGGGCAGGGCATTTGATCACAGGGTTATTGCTTGTGCATGATATCAAGAAAGAGTTCATCTTTGTTGAAACAGGATATCATGAAGTATGCTTGCTGCCGTACTCACAAGTACCTTACAGTTTTATTGACCTTAAAGTGATAGCAAGAATTCAGAAAAATTACAGTGCAATAGAGAAAAGAGATGAACAGGATCCAAATTAATGTCATTAATGCCTGAGTTTAATTACCACCCAGGTTCAACAGTTTATCAATCTAGTTAAAAGAAATCAATTCTAGGCACCAATTTCATGAAATTAATATACATGTAAACCCAGGCCCATAGCCGAGGGGGGGGGGGGGGGGTCAAAACAAACTGCCCTTCTTGATGGAAAAAGTTTCCCTCTAAACAAAAATTTGATCTAGGTACATTGGCGGTTTCTTGGTAAAAGCTCCAAAAATTAACGAACCCCCTTCCTCCCCCATTGCACAGCTACAGGCCTGAAATCTGTGTCTTACGTAATCAAGGCCTTCTTCTACTGGATTAAGATAAGAAGGCAAACTGGTATGAGTTGACCATGTAAAATTGCACAGTCAGTTGCAACTGAAAAATTCGACTTAAAACTTACCGGCCATGGCTTACAAAGTGAGGGTTCTTTTTCTGAAAAATGTACCCTTTACCATGAATTCAGAACCTTCCTGTACCTACATCAATTTTTACCCAAAGCAGACCTTTTCCTAAAAAGGTTGGTTTGTTCAAATCTCCCCCAGAATCACCCATGAGCCTGTATAGCCTGCAATTACAAAGGGGGGTTCTTTTTATGAAAAAGTGTACCTTTTAACATGTATGATAAAACTTTGTGTTCCTACTGGTATGTCAAATTTTAACCAGAGAAGACCTTTTCCAGCAAAAAGGATGATTTGTTCTAACCCCCCCCCCCCCCCGACACAACCCTCCATCGGCCTGCATATCCATATATCTCACCTTCATAACCTGGGTTATCAATTTCCATCTTTATCTGCTCAGTATTCTTGGTATCTGACTGTCGATCCCTTCTTAAATGTATAGTTCCAGCATTCCACTACTCCTCAAAGTGTCTGAAATAGCGAACAACATTTCATGATGCAAGAACATTACCTCAACATCCGTAGTATGTGCATGCATTCATTTTTTTTTCAGTGCACAAAAAATGGGATCTTATGCTCACAATGTATGCTTATGAAAAAGTGTAGTCTCCAATTTGAGTAAAAGCCTTCATGTAGCTTGCAAGTAAAACACTTTCTCAACTTTTTGCAACAGCTTTCCAGTGGCTTAAAATCACATAAAAAAGCTGACTAATATAACTGGCCAATTTAACTTTTCAGACATTTAAGAACCATACAAATGCTGAAATGCTATATACTTATAACTGTCAAACATGTACCTGTCCTTCCTAAAGTTCCAAAGAGAAATCCCTAACTAGTACCAAGGCTTTTCAATTACCTCAGCAGTTTGTCATCTCTTTGTATAGTAACATAAAATTGGGAGCCACCTATGCTAATCTATTATGCCTTAGTTCTCTGTAGAATGGATTTATTCACAAAGGACAGTTAATCATTAACCAACAAGATTTGTATTCCATGTTCTGTTCAAATGCATTTTTTGTAAATTCCTATTCAAAGTTTTCGGCAAACATGATAAGCTTAAGGTTTCTTGGCACTGCTTGACACATTGGCGTTTTACAACTTCAAAGTTATAAAATCTGTGTTGGTTAATGATTATCAAGCAGATAGGAGATTATAATCATAACAGAGCCAGTGAACTAGGTGATCGATATACAATCAGGTGTATCTAAGACATCAAGCAAAGGGAGCTCAAGAGGGGCGAAAAGGTCAACCTTCAAACACCTTAAATATTAATCCCCATCACACGCCTGTCACACACACACACACACACACACACACACACACTAGGAGACCGCAAGTTTTGCTAGGCTTTTGTAATAGGAATCCGACAGAATTCATTTTCTTATACGGAGATAGACGGTCTCACAGATTCCATAAATTATTATATAACTTTAAAAATGATCACCCGAAGTTAAAATACATGTATAGGGATAGAGTCCAAAACAGCTGACTTTATTAGGGACTGGAGCTCTTAAGCAACTTCATGCCTATGATAGAAACTGGGAACACATAAATATTCCACTGACATATGCCTGTCTTGTACAGTAGGTACATTTGTAAGTTAAAGCTTTAAAATTTCACTACAATAGTGCAATATCATGCAAATCACTACTCCACCAAATGTACATGTACCAATATGCCAATGCATTACATCAATTTAATGCAAACTCACAAAAGCAAATTTATTACGCACCTTAATTCTGCTGCTTCAGCCACGTCGTCTTTCACCTGTAATCTGTTTACCAAGTGGATTTCTTATCTTTTTCTTACGACGGCAACTTACAGCAGAAATTAAAGAGAGTCAACAAACCATTCAGGCATGCAGTACTTTTGACTGTGTTGGCAATTCACATATACACAGTCAGATTTGGGATCATTTTAAGACAAGGATTGTCTCTAAAAGACCAATAAATTCTCAATAAATTGCAAGCAACTAGAGCAGCTTAGATGTCTGTCATGCCTACTGAAGCTGCTAGGGGGTAATTAATTATCTTTTAGCAGCTCCAGTACACGTTCCAGACATCTAAGCCGCTTAAAGCAGTTTAGCAAGAAACACCTTGGAGATGGATCGATCCTGTTAGATTGATCTAAGTATGGGAACCCTGTCTAATGGTTTCAAAAGTTGCTGTTCCTGATCCCACCCCACATAGTGCGCATTTACACCAGTTGGGTTGGTCCAACTCTGCATTGGATTCTCTTTTTGTGCAATCAGTGGGGTTAGCTTTATTTTCTGTCACACCTCCTTGAGCATCTTGGGGGTAATTAAGCTGAGCACAAACATGGAATTTTAATTACCCCCTAGCTGCTTGTATTAATGCAATGTATTAATTATGAAATATGAATCTCTAATGAGGAGTTGTTATCCCTTTAAGATCCTCACACTTCCAGACTGTGTTTATACTCTTCATGGGTGTGTGTGAGTATATGCAAATACTGCTGTTATATACATGCACCAATTAATCCAGGATGTATTGCTAGACACAGGCCTAGATATTTTTATACAAAAACTAATCTGTACCTGGTACGTGATTCCCCTTATTAAATTTCATAAATTCAGTCTTTTTTTTTTTTCAAATGTTAAGATGTAATGTGGAAATCACAATGTGGATCATGTATGAAGTCTACGTTTGTTTAACGTCCAATCTTACACCCATCATATAGCTCGATCAGACTGAAACTCAAACTGCAGGTATGTTTAGGAATTTTGTAATACCAGAATCACAGATAGGTATCAATACTTAATTTAGTTTATTAATACTAAGACAATATTCATGCTCAATAATCAACTGGAATTTATCAAGACCAAATAAGCATTTGCTAGCACCCGTTATTGAAAGGTAAATGAGTTATAATACACTCACACCATTTTTTTTCTTTCACAAAATAACCTCCCTTGGTTAATATACTTTATTTTCAGTGTTACTTGCAGTGCTCTGCTGTAAAAAGCAAGTAGATTGATTGCATCAGAAGAGAAAAAAATATTTCCGTACGTTCAACTGTACTAACAAACTGTGACCCTGAGTGCCTTTTGAGTGAAATACTTATGATAACTAGGAGAGAAAAAAATTCACCATCTCACTTCTTCAGACCATTCAATAAAATAAAATAATATTTTCCATTTTTCACAAAAAAAAAGTGTTTTACAATTATTCAACTTGCAATTATTCCATTCACTACCAACATCGCAATACCATGTCTTTTAAAAACAATAATTCAAAATAGTATAATACCACAGACCTTGGATGAATAAAATGTTTACTCGTCCAAGCAAAAAACCAACATGCACATCCCTGGTAGATTGTGAATTTAATGTTGCTCCAGGCTACAATACACAAACATTTTTTTTTTTAAATAAATAACCTTTCTTTTTTTTTTTTTATTTCAACTGTTTTTCCCTGTGCCTCCTATTCTGAATCCACAATAAGCTTGTAATTACTCAAATAGTATTGTATTACATACATAACTTTCCTTATTTGTTTATTTTATTAATGAAAGTAACGACAGGTGTCAAATACATCTGTGGTACACTCAATTTACATAGGACGTGTTATAATAATAATAATTATATATATATATATAGTATTCTGGTAGTGGATGTTATCAGAAAACTAATAGCTATGTCCAAGCCCAAGGGCATTATTTCCTTTTCAACATCTTTCACCTTTTGGTGTACTAGTACCACATTAATATCAATATCTTTGCTATACTACTTTTTCGCTTAGATGCTAGATAAATGTTAAAATCAGAGCAAATATGACAGCACTTAAGTCTCTGTCGCTTTGGTGAAAATAGGAAGCAGTATTAACCACACATACATGTACATGTACAATACTTCTACAGTGCACTGAATTATGCAGCATCTGAGGGTCCTTACACCCCATTTCCATAGATTTTTAGATAGATCTATCCCTGCGGGGAGTCTCACTAGATTACTGTCAGCTTAGCCGGCTTAAGCATCTGTCCTGCCTACTAAAAGCTGTAAGGGGGTAATTAACTATGGTGTCCGCTCGGCTGACTGCAATTTAGCCTGAACCCCCAGGGAGTTAGGTCGATCTAAAACTTAATCTTTAGATCGATCTAAACCTCTGGGAAAGCACCCTTAGACTACATTAATGACCCCCCTCTTTCTAATACAATCTTACACTGTGTCTTAGACATGATTCAAACTTTTCTTTATAGTTGGGCTCCAAATGACCCCCAACTCCACATGTAATACAGCATAAGTAAGTGTTACTAATATTTAATATTTAATACAAAAACACCATGAAGAATTGACATTGTTGATTGCTTAATAAAAGCAAAACAGAGGTACTAGGTAAAAATTACATACATATCATTTATGTTTTCATTGTCCTTTAAGTATGAATGTAAAATAACATGCAGATAGAGGTTACCTACGAATTTTGTAGCAGAATGATTTGTGAAACAACGTACATCAATCACTTTTTACAACTTAACTAACACCAGTGATTTTTTTCATCAGTAATATACCATCCAATGCGCTTCACCAACAAATAGCAAAAAGAGGCCTGGAATATTTTTGGACTAACAATTTCAAACAAGAAAATCAAAATTCATTGACACACAACTTTCATAATCATGGAAGAGAACCACAAATAAAACAGTTAGTCTCAGTTGATTGAGAAATAAGAAGTTTTCAAGGAAAAATACAATTTTCAGGTTGGTACAAACATCTACAACAAGAAACACAAGTTGACAACATTTCAGAACTCAAAATATTAACATCCACTATATAATATGTCATTAATAATGACATAACACCTCAAAAACAACGGGAAACAAGCTTAAAATAATGGCAGTAAAATGGCAGCAAATGCATAGAGTTGGCAATTTTTGAGTTTTAAATGCGCAGATTCATTGAGAAGTGTATAAAAATGCTGCCTAACTACCAATAGTGAAATAAAAAAAACGGAACATAAGACTACTCCCATCATTACCTTAGAATCTCATTAATTTCCTACAACTAAGTCAGTATTTTAAAGAGCTTTTGATAATAGTAATAGTATGATTTAACTATTTAATAATCTATTTATTCATTTTTTCTTATGATAATAGCAAAAATTTAATGTGCATGTTTGTACATGTTGTACTCTTCCACCTGTGCATCAAGATGACCTTCAAAAATACCTCATGCATAGACCTACAATTCCCTTATAAACATCCCTTACATCAATGAATCAATTTAAAAAAAATTAACACACATGGTTGTCAACTCCACACATTTACTTATTATACCCCACCAATTTTCTTCATTTAAGTTTCATGTAATATTCTACCATGTATATACGCATAATAATCGAGAGGTAACCATTTTAAAGAACCAAAAAATTTAGTGACTGGGACCTTATCTCATAATCACAAATTTCATTCTTCTTGTATGAAAGCCTTGTAAGCCTCAGCATCCATTAGATCTTTCAGTTCTTCTGAGTTTCCCAATTCAACCTTCATCAGCCAACCTAGAAAAGTAATTTGTAGGGGACGTTTGTCATCGAGTTCTGGTCTATGTTATTTTTTATTTTATTTCATTTTTTTTTTTTTTTTTTTTTGTACAAAATGTCTCACTGACCCATGAAATATTCTGTACAATGGTCTACAGAGGGTGAACATTTTAGAATTACCTAGAAAAATGTCAACATGTTGCCACCAATACACTGCCGTTTTCAATAAATTGTTAGAGGTTTATCACTTCCCTTTCAATCAATGAAAAAATCAAATTTGAATCTTTCTGAACAATATGAATTCTTCTGATAAATGATGCACTGCCTTTGTGATTGTTTTCAAGGAAGCAAATGTACCTTTAAAGTGATCAGTTATGAAAATTAAAGAAAAAAAAAATAATGAAACCATATCTGCAACTCATCTTTTCAAAACAATTTTGCAAATGAGAATATTGTTTATACCTTCGATTTCTTGACAGAAGGCAAAACATTTAAAATGGCATCTACTGGGTAAGCACCCAGACCATATAAATATTAGGCTTCATAAGCATCAATCGCCAGTTGTGACTTGGAACACCCACACTCAAGGTCAGTATTAATACAGTCATAATTTACATTTGAGCACTGATTCAGCTATCACCAAAGTCACTGATTAGGCTATCAAATTCAATAATTTGTAGCTCCAAGTCACAAACTATAATTTCATGTTAAGGGCTTATTATACAATAAATATCTTTTTCTTAATTTTACCCTTATCATATGGCGACTGGTTGATAGTTTCTGGCGACTCATCCAAAGTTTTGTTGACTTCTATCACTTGCCCTGAGACTGGTGAATACAGATCACTAGCAGCTTTCACACTTTCCAACGTCCCACACACATCTAGAACAGAAATCAAAAATATATAAAGGTATCTATTCACTTTAAATTCCATTGAGATATTTTCTCCAGGATGGAGATATTGTTCCCAAAATCAACAGATTCGTAAAGACCAGATATGAAATCTATAAAGGATATCTCATAACAGCAAAAAAATATCTCCTTTAAGTTAACACAAAAGCAATTTTTCTTAAGATTAGCATACAGTGTTAACAATGGTTCCACAACACATGCAGTAAAATTAGGTACATTTGTATAACCTTACTAGTAACTGCAATTATATTTTCTCTGCGTCAAAACTGTAGAATCTCAGAGTTTCAAAGTAGGTTTTAAAGTTTTTGGCATGGGGACTGGAGTAGACTATTACATGCATATTTACATGTAGTAATGGGCTGCTCTTCCAGGCAGGTGTATAGTGAATGGTGGCAATTTTCATCTTTCGGTCAGAAATATATCTGATTTATTAAGCTACGAAAAGTAAAAGGCGTTGATTTATGATATCGTCTTCCATTAATTATCTTTGGCTTTGGTACAGACATACCATCCAGGCCCGTAGCCAGCAATTTCAGAGGGGGGGGTTCGTTTTCTGAAAAAGTGGACCTTTTACCATAAAATCCTCAAGTACAAAGATCAAATTTTACCCAGAGTGGACCTTTTCCCAGCAAACCCCCCCCCCCCCCCCCCCGGCTACGGGCCTGCCCTCTATCAGAAGAATAAGATACCATTCCCAGAGACTATCATACTAACTATGGATTGATCTATTTCCAAGGGGGTTTTCACTAAATTGCTATCAACTTAAGCAGCTTAGATGTCTCGCACGTCCACTGAAGCTATTAGAGGGTAATTAACTATCATTTAGTGGCTTCAGTAGGCGTGCCATACATACTATAAGCCATTTAGGCTTAAAGCAATTTAGTGAGAAAAACCTTGGAGATGGGTTGATCCAGTTAGATCAATCTAGGCATGGGAACCCAGTCTAACATAACAATAATGGATTGAGAGAGGAGGGGAGGGCAGTGGGCATGCCCTCTTCTTTCCCTTCATAGGTACCTCTTTCCTTTAAAAAAAAAACAGTATGACAGACCAAACAAGACAAAACCAACCAATTTTCCATCCCCGTGCCCTGTATGTTTTAGTAAAATCCCCAATTGTCTAATGTCAGGCCCGTAGCTAGGGGGGGTTCGGGGGGTTCGAAAGAACCCCCCTTTTTGCTGGAAAAAGGTCCACTCTGGGTAAAATTTGACCTATGTACATGGGGATTATATGGCAAAAGGTCCACTTTTTCAGAAAAAGAACCCCCCCTTTGAAATTGCTGGCTACGGGCCTGAATGTTTATACTCTATATTCACCCACCCATCCAATGACAAAATCCTGGGTCTAGCAGTACAAAAACATCAACATGGCTTATTTATCTTTAACTTACAAATTAATCATAAATTTACAGTAAACCTCTGTTATTTTTGACAAATGAAACTTAAATTTAACTTTATTTACTAGTGACTTCTCACCTACCCATCGAACCCCCCCCCCCCCTCTCCCCCATTCACAGTCCTGGGTCTAGCAGTATACACTTACCTCCTTTGGTGAAAACGGCATCTAACTCTGGCAGCTCAACATATACCAGGTCCCCAAGTTGAGCCTGAAAAAGAAACTAAACCTAAGACAAAAGTAATACTTCCTGATTGCTATGAAAGCTAGTAAAACAATGTGTTAAGGTAAAAATGTATAAAAAATACATCAAAATGGCTTATTTTTCTTTAATTTACAAATTAATCACAAATTTATGGTTAACCTCTGTTATTTTACACCAATGAAACTTTAAATTTATTCAATGAAAACGCATAGCTAATGAAAGTGTTCAACAAATCATAAATTTGTCTTGATGACAAGAACTATTACAGGGCTTGACACCAACTTATTTCGATACTGGCCCGAGGTACTGGTAAATGTTGCAAGGATGATTTGACACATGACATTTTACTTGCTCTTTGGGCCAGTGACCCCAGCGATTCAATGGCCCTAGGTTGGTTTTCAGTGGCCCAGGGCCAGTGGGCCACCCTTAATGTCAAGCCCTGTATTAAAACCATGGATTCTATATAACCTGGGCATAGTCTGAGATTCCTATTAGCCCTGTGCTTCCTTCCACTTTCACCCACTCGTGTTCTTCTGTGTAAAGGCGGTCTGAAAATATGGTTTGTACATTTGAGAAATGCTCTCAGTTTTTAACTCAAATTAAGTTCACAAATAGCTATAATTTCATTTAAAGGGCTTGAATATCTTTCTCTTAATTTTACCCTTGTCATATGGTGACTGGTTGATAGTTTCTGGCGACTCATCCAAAGTTTTGATGACTTCTATCACTTGCCCTGAGGTGGTTTTAAATATGGTGAGCACATTTGAGAAATGCTCTCAGTTTTTTAACTCAAATTAAGTTCAGAAGTTTTCATGAGCAGTTGTGGCCTTAAAAAAGGGCACAACCATATAACCAATCACTGTAGGATGCAATTATGTGTTTGCTACTAGTACTAGTGCTATATCAAAAAATCATCACTGGTAGAGCTAATGCATGAATTCTGTGCAAATAAACTACTAAGGTTTAGATATATATCAGAATGCTCCAGAGGTGCCACAGTCAATCATGTCCTGCAGCAGCACTTGCCTGCCAGTGACCAGCACCTATACAAAAATCTTCTATGCCTAAATTTCAATACTTTGTTAAAGTACAGAATATTTATGATTTTATGCAACAAACCCCATGAAAATTGATCAAGGTGAAGTATGTTTTTAAGTTGGCAAAAAAGCGGTGAGTGGTCACAGCTTTCTGGCTATAATGGGAGGACACATTTGCCCTAATATCACTATTTAAAAAACTGTGATATTTCCTTTAATTTTAGAGACAATATCAAAATTACAAAAGTATAACATTATGGATCAAAATACTATTCAGAAGATATAACTTGTGTTTATATCTGGCACATTCTATTTTTTTCTGATATACCGGTACCTACTAAGGGTAAAACAATGCACTGCCCATACCACCTCCAGTACACAAATACGGATGAGACTGCCATCTAATGAACAAAAAAGATCCGTGTCGATCTCAAAAATGTTATTTTTGTCTCCTAAACAGTCAGACTACTAGTATAGTCGGAAATATCTCACACATGCGGGCCAATCCCTGCTCAGCCTCAAGTGAGTTGAAAAGCTATGCTTTTTCCTCAACAAAACCAGTCATAAATAGCCTACCTTTTGGAATATCACTTGTTAAGTTTTGTGTGCAGCTTAGCCATCTTATTTGGTGGTTGGCACTCGTGCTAAGTCGAGGAAAGAGACTGATATTCGTCCGAAATAGAGATCTTGCACACCTAACTAATCTAGCAGAAGCCATCCTTACGCTCGAGTAAAGGTCACAAGACAAGCTTAACTTCAGAAGGTCATCGCTAGGTGCCAGGATTTTCGATTTTGCACTGTGGCGGATTGGGGGTGTCAGGGGGGTCCTGTCCCCCCCCCTTCGATTACTGAAAAAAAAAACACTAAAAAGTTGTACCCTCTTGAAATTAGAATTTTGACTAATTGAATTATAGATCTAAACCGTGCCAAATGGCACTGTTCGCCCTTTTAAAAGCAAAACATTTTGGGGTCCTTAAACGGGCCCCGAATCCCACGCCAAGCGGACCTCCCCCTCCTTCAAATAATCCTGGACATCCGCACTTGTTTTATTTCTAATAAAACAAATTGTCGAAGTCCATCAATTTTAAGTTTCCTTGCATTGAAAAATCCCTTCCCTGTCGACACCAGAATGTCAAATCATAATTGATTATTTTGTTATGTACTCTTTCGTCTGTTTTAACAAAGTGAATTTTCCCGAAAAAATGGGGATAAACTTACTCAAACAACTGTCAGAGCAAAGGTCTCATTTTAAGTCTCCATTTGTTTTCATATCGCAGTTTCAAATTGAGGCTTATGTATGGAAAAGCCATGTACACGAAAACCATCAATGGAGATATTCAGCTGATCGAACCGCGCAGTCTGGGGAAACCCGTGTGGAATTTTCCGCTGTCTGGTGAAAGCGTGTTTGGAGAGAGGGAGGGTATGATAAGGGATATGCAACGTGTCTTCAAAGAAATTATCTTGATTTGCATAAGGTGACGAAATATTACACTGCGGTACGCGTAGCTTTTTGGGTCTTGTCGAATGTGTCAATGATTGCCGAAAGTTACCTGCGCCGGTGTTCTTAAATTATACATCGGGGTCAAAGTCACGGAGTGCAAAGGCTAGATAAACTTCAGTAAGGCTATATTTAACCCACGGCAGCAGGGATTGACAATCATTGAGGACGCTGACTCGGGACACATTCAACAGACATAATGGCTGCAGACGGTAAGCATCTGTAGGATTACACCTGATATCTCGAGCATCCTATACATATTGAGATCTGTATTCGCTTGTTGAGTGAAGATTAATGAATTAATTATGATGATCTAAATTAATTATTAAATCAATATATGTATATATATTATTTGTACGTATGTTGTCAAGAACGCGCTCCCCCTCCCATANAAAATCGTTATCATTAGTCTCTTTAAACGCCTGGAAGTCGAATTTATAAGTGTCCAGCCGAGCGCCGTTGCCATTCTCGTCCGCCAGAAGTAGCGTCTGTTCTTTCTGGCACTTAAAGTACTGTCCCAAGGCCGCCTGGAATGGGTCAAGAGTGGTCTGGTTCCCCATGGACAGATGGACAGTGGCTGTGGTGTCTGGAAGAAAAGGTGCAGATTTTTGGATCAGAGTTTGACACGTAAAGTAACAAAACAAATTTAATGTCGAAATCTATATACTCAATGAAAATGTAAAAAAAGGGAGTGAAGAGAACTCTCCTTGTCTGTAGTCTTTGATGAAAATCAATAAATAAATAAATATATAAGTTGACACATGAAAAACTAAATGAATGGATAAATAAAAACGACTAATTTTAACTTGATAGTTAGTCTATTAGGTGTTCACGTTTTTAATCAACTCAGGTAGTCCTGCTTGTTGTATCTCTGTGATTACTACAACTTTTACTTAGCTTCCTAGATAACGTAAGCTAATAATTACCGACAATACTCGGATGGGGATCCACGAATCTTTCATCACTGTAGGTGAAGGTCAGTGACAAATCGCTGACGTTGTAATTCCCCGATGACGTCATATCATCCTTCTCAAAGGAGGCGCTCAACACCCAGTCCTCGAAAAACGTCACGGAGACAGTCTGTCGCCTCTCGTCGCACTGACCGCTTACTGTGGTCTCATTTTGTGTCGGGAGATTGAACATTCCGTGTCCAGTCTAGAAAAAAAACGGAGGGTGACAAATAAGCGCTATTGGAATTAAGCTGAAACACTCTCGAAGAAATGGTGAGACAGGAATGGTAGTCCGCTAGGAACTGTAGTCAGTTCCCCATTACTTTGTACAGGTGACATTTGTCCCATATGCTAACTCCAATACTCCGAATAATCCCAACCTGTGCCATATGCCTGTCCTAAACATATGGGACCCGGTGTGTGTGTGTGTGTGTGTGTGTGTGTGTGTGTGTGTATGCGTGTGTATGTGTGTGTGTGTCTGCCTGTCTGCGTGTGTGTATGTGTGTGCATATGTGTATGTGTGTGTGATTGTATATACGCGTCTGTGTTTTCTCTCAGCTGATATGGTTATAAATTTAAATATTTTACAAAAATTGTAGCAATGACAATCTCTCCCAATTCTTTGTTGATGGCATAATTTCACTCCATATTTCAGTGGCAGAGCATATTTTTCAGTCACATTACCATTAACTTGCTATGAGATGATACTTTTTGAATGTATATGTACAGTATGTGGTTTGTTTCCATAGAAACCCGTCATGACATGACCCAGTTCTGGGAGAGCCACTCCAAGGATGCAACTCTCCAAGAAATGATGTTGGACAGCAATGCAGAGCTGCTGTGTAAAGAGGAAATCCCAGAAATCCTGGAATTGATTCCATCCTTAGAGGGCAAAACTGTGTTAGAATTAGGATCTGGAATAGGGTAGGCTTTTTGAAGTTATTATTATTATTATTATTATTATTATTATTATTATATAGAATGTCTCTTCTTGGCTTATGAACCTATAAGATCAAAGGCTGCATTCAAAACCTGTCTGATAAAAGGGAGAAATTAAGTTAAACTGGAAATTGACGCAGCCTGATTGCTAAACATGGGACTTAATTTTTAAGTGCTGTGTTATGAACATTTTGTGACATTAAAATACTTATGGCCTCCTAAATGAAGATGTCTTGTGAGACACTTAAATATATTAAATGGTAATAACCCTGAGTTTTAGCATTGAACTATCTATAACAATAATTGTAGTGCATATGAGAGCTAGTAAAAATATTTGCTAATTAACATGAACTTTAACGGAAATACAGTTAACAGTCCATAAGTATTATATTGTCCTCTATTATTAAAGTATTTTAAGTAAAAAAAAAAAAAAAGAAAAAAACATAAATATTATTTGAACTTTGCAATTTGTGTTTCTTCTGAAGTAAAGCAAGATTGCATATTTGCATTCCTTATTCCCACATCATTCTACAGTATCAAGCCTTCTCTATCTAGCCATTCTTTAATTTGTTATCATATACTGTTTCTTGCAGTCGGTTTACATCTGTGCTAGCAGACAAGGCCAAACAGGTGACGGCAGTCGATTTTATGCAGAAGTTTGTGGACAAGAACAAAGAATTGAACGGTCACTGTGGCAACGTGGAGTTTCTCTGTGCTGATGTCACAAAACTTGACCTGCCAGAGGGCAAGTAAGCATGTGGTCCTTTAAGACACACTTAATACAGGGGCGGATTCAGAGATATTTTCTGACAGTCTTCCAAATTATCTTTGTTGATCCGTTCTTCATTTTTGACCGTCTTCCGACAGAAAAAATTGGATACCCGTCAATGTAAACTTGAAAATCTGACCGTCTTCCGGAAGACCCAGAAGACGCCCTAAATCCGCCCCTGTAATAGATGAAAAATATGTATCAGTGATTCATCTTTCACCCTTAAGAACCAGGGTAGTAGATGATCTTGTATTTTGGTGTTTATGTACAAGCAGTCAAGTCAAAAGCTTTTTTTATCTATCAAATTCTATAACATTACTATATATCGAGACTTGACTTAATATGAAATTGCCTTTATTCTGTCACTTGCAATACAGGGCACTAGAAAAGTCATTTGATTGCTATGTATATGTTACTAGTCTTAAATTTCACAGTGATTTTTAAGTTGCAGCAAATACATGCAGGCCATGTTGGGGGGAGGAGGAGGGGGGTAAATTAACCATGCTTACTGCAAAACATGCCTGCTCTGAGTCAAATTTTTTTCTAGATATGACTTGGTGTTTTCTAACTGGCTGTTTATGTACCTGGGAGATGAGGAGGTGAGAGCTGTGGCAGAAAAAATCCTTTCCTGGCTCAAAGATGGCTGTTATTTCTTCTTCAGGGAGTCATGCTTCCATCAGTCAGGTAAGGTGGTATGTATGATAAGTAACATAATCCGGTTTTGGAGTTTATTGTAGGAATTAAAGGCATTTTTACGTGTGTAAATTTTTTGATACACATATTATTTTGCAAAGATTATTAACATTTTCAGCATAAGAAAAATTGTTAATTCCAGACATTCTTAATCTTAGTTAATTAATTACATACTATTGCAAAATGAAAACAGACTACAATTATTAATTGGAGACTAATGTGCTACACACACACACACACACACACACACTTGAAGAGTGTGACTACCATGAATTATTTAATGTAAGCAAGCACTCCTGCATACTTATAAACAGAGAGCATGTCATCTGGTATTCTCAGGTAAATCAAAAGAGCAAGTGGCACAATTTTAATAACTGCTAACTGTAGCATACCTGTGGTATATGCTTCTATTTTCCGGTTAAAATATTGATACTGATATCTTTGGGTAGGTGATAAGAAAAGAGAAGCAAACCCGACCAAGTATCGTGACCCTGCCACATATAGCAACTTGTTCAAGTCTGTGTCAGTGCCAGTACCTGATGGAACAAATTTGTTTGAAGTTATTCTGTCCAAGTCAATACAAACCTATGTTAAGGTATGGAAACAAGGGACATATCATTTGTGCCTATGAACTTGTCTTTGTGCAGTTGACGTCCATTAGAAGTTTAAACAAAATTGTCTTATTAACAGACTTTTTTTTTCAATATTTTGGAATTTCCAAATGACTTAAGAGATTATGGTTGATAATTAAGTAAGTGGAAAATTGCTGAAGACCTATTTGAGGAGTAGTTTTCTGTCTTTAAGTCCAAAAAGCTTTCTTTTTTCAATGTGTCAAAAAGTAAAGGCCCTTTAAAAATCTTGGACTAGTCAGTTAATTTGCC